GGGACTGAGGACTTGCTGCCCTGGAGGAGCTCCCCAACCGAGTTCCTTAATCTTTCCAAAAGAGTGTTCATACTCAAGATCTAAAAAAATAACCAAAATATAGCAAGAGCTTCTATGATTAAGTGCTAGGCATCAAGCACTGGCAACACGCTTCAGATATATTATCATGCTTACTTTTCCTAAGAACCCCACTGACAGTACTGCTGTTTTCCCATTTTACAGGTGGAGAAAATGAGGGCTTAGAAGAGGTTAACTTACTTAAAGGACATGGGGGAGATAAGATCTTGCACCTAGGTCTGGGACACCAAGACCTGTGGTTTTTCCTTTTTTTTTTTTTTTTTTTTTGACACAAGGTCTTGCTCTGTCACCCAGGCTGGAATGCAGTGGCACAATCTCAGTTCACTACAGCCTCACCTCCTAGGCTCAAGCTTTCCTCCCACCTCAGCCTTCTGAGTAGCTGAGACTACAGGCTTGTGCCACCATGCCTGGCTAATTTTGTTTATTTTTTGTAGAGATGAGGTCTCACTATGTTGCCCAGGCTGGTCTCAAACTCCTGGGCTCAAGCCATCCTCCCACCTTGGGCTCCCAAAGTGCTGAAATTATAGGCATGAGCTACCACACTTGGCTAACGCCGTGCTTTTAACCCATTACATGACACTGCCTCATGATTGCTTTATTCACCCACAAAGTCCTTCTAGATAGAATCTGTTATTCCCATTCTACAAACAAGCTAAGAGAAGCCAGGAGAGGTGAATGACTTTCTTCAGGTCTGATGACTAAGCCAGGAGCTGAGACTCAAGAACAGGCTTTTTTTTTTTTTTTTTTGAGATGGAGTCTCGCTCTGTTGCCGAGGCTAGAGTGCAGTGGTGCGATCTCGGCTCACTGCAAGCTTTGCCTCCCGGGTTCACGCCATTCTCCTGCCACCATGCCCAGCTATTTTTTTGTATTTTTAGTAGAGATGTGGTTTCACCGTGTTAGCCAGGATGGTCTCGATCTCCTAACCTCATCATCCGCCCACCTCGGCCTCCCAAAGTGCTGGGATTACAGTAGTGAGCCACCGTGTTCGGCCAGGTTTCTTTTTCTTTTTTTTTCCTTTTCTTTGAGATGGAGTCTCGCCCTGTTGCCCAAGCTGGAGTGCAATGACATGATCTCGGCTCACTGCAACCTCTGCTTCCCAAGTTCAAGTGGTTCTCCCGCCTCAGCCTCCTGAAAGGCTGGGATTACAGGCACCCGCCACCACGCCCAGCTAATTTTTAGTAGAAATGGGGTTTCACCCCGACCTCAGGTGATCCACCCGCCTCGGCCTCCCAAAGTGCTGGGATTACTGGTGTGAGCCACTGTGCCCGGCCCAGGTTTCTTTTTGTTTGTTTGAGATGGAACCTCGCTCTGTCACCAGGCTGGAGTGCAGTGGCGTGATCTTGGTTCACTGGAGCCTCCTGCTGCCAGGTTCAAGCAATTCTCCTGCCTCACCCCCCGGGTAGCTGGGATTACAGGTGCCTGCCATCACGCCCAGCTAATTTTTGTATTTTTAGTAGACATGGCGTTTCACCATGTTGGCCGGGCTGGTGTTGAACTCCTTACCTCAGATGATCTGCCTGCCTCGACCACCCAAAGTGTTGGGATTACAGGCGTGAGCCACCACACCCGGCCAGGAATGGGTTTCTTTTTTTTTTTTTTTTT